CTTTGCCGCTGAGCTAAATCCCCAGCCTCTTAGAATTTTTATATCTTCTTGATTCAGCTTTGGCAATTCATATGTATCTAGGAATCTGTCCATTTCTTCTGCTTACCACTCTGCTATCTTCCCACAAGTCTCTGGTATTATTAATCCTTTGGGGTTCAGTAAACCAGTTCTAGCTGGGTATACTAGGTGGTATGTACCTATAATCCCAGCATTCTGGGAGGCTGGGGCAGGAGGGTTACAAGTTCAAGCCCAGCCTGGACCATCTCAGCAACTTACTGAGACTTTGTCTCAAAATGAAAAATGAACTGAGGAGACAGCTTAGTGCAAAGGCCCTTTTCAATCCCCAGTTACAACACACACTCACATACACACATGCACACACACCCAGTTCTGGTGCTCATGCTGGCTGGTGGCTAAGCGACATGTCTAGTGCCCAGGGCCAGACGCCGCTGGAAGGAGGTGAGGATAGTGGGACCCACAGGGCCAGTGTCCCCTGGCACAAGCTCGTGTGTGCAGCACCTGGGTGCTGCCTGTCACGGCTGGGCCCTGTCTCTGAGCTGCGTGCACTTTGTGATGAAGGGCCCCCAGGGCAGGGACCTCTCCCCCGCATGGCCCAGGTGCTGTGCTGCCCCAGAGAGGGACACTGGCCGTGGACCAGGGTCTGCAGGGTGGCTGATGGCCAGCCCCGCAGGCGTACCCCGAGCTGCACAGAGCCAATTGTGGACTGGAGAGGGCGGCTGGAGGGGATGGAGATACAGCCGGGCGGGGCCGCTAGACAGCAGGGGCGTGGCCGCTCTCCCTCCAGTGCAGGGCCACCCAGCTCAGGTGACCACTCTGGGGAAGAGCGGGTGCTGAGACACGAGTGGTCAGGAGACAGCTCCACCGCAGCGCCAAGCATGCAGGGAGCCAGTGGGTGACGCCGCATGTTTGAAATAAAGGAGAAAGGTCCTAGCAGGCCTCGGGAGGCAGGGCACAGGGTCAGGCCCACGGCTGCACCCCGCTGAGTCAGGACACCCCCGGCCCCAGCCCATGCTGTGAAGAGCTCCCGGCCCAACATGCAGGGAAGCCAAGGCCACGGTCCCGGTTTTTGCAGAGGAAGAGCTTTCTCAAAGGTTAACTCACCAGGGGACAGAACAGCTCAAATCTCTCCGAGCAGCCAGGGAGGCAGGTGTAGGGGTTCTGGGAGTTGCGCGGTGGCGGCTTCCTGGGCCTTGACTGGATGCTGCTGCTTCTCTGTAGGTCTGACGCCAAGTAACACTGTTGCTTGAGAGGAGGTCAGAAATCGTTTACCCCGAGCCCCACACGGGACCGAGGCCTGGGAACAGGATCTGAGTGACCCTGGGAGCTGTGCGCAAGGCGGAGGAACTTTTACAGCCAAAGAGCAGAGCCACCACTGACCCGGCACTGCTGGGGCGCAGGGAGGGGGCCCCTGCTTCAGGCTCCGGGGTCACCTGACAGAATGCGCAGCTCCCGACTTGAGGGAGGCCAGGCCTGGCTTTCCCGCAGACCCAAAGCAACACGGGCTCAGCTCCACATCCACTCCCGGAGCTCCACCTGGCGGCAGGTCACACGAACACCCCTCCCGGCAGAGGGGAGAGCACAAGGCTGTGCTCCTAAAGCACCCGGGACAGCGCGGGGCAGCTGTGGCTCTAGACCCGGACGCGCTGTCTCCGCAGGGCGATGTTCCGCTCCGCGGGACCCGTGAACACACGCGGCTCCTTCAGGGACTTCAGCCTCGATTTCAGCCCTGCGTGGAAGCTCTGCTGTGGGCGCCCGCGGCTCTGCCGTCTGCGCAGCTCCCGGTCCCGAGGACTGTGCCATGGCCCAGGGACAGGCCTGCGCAGTGAGGACCCCAAGGACAAGCCCCGGTGCCTCCCCTAAGGGCGGGGAGATGGCGGCGTAGCTGGGGGGCAGGCGGCTTCCTGGGCTATGCCAGTTCTCACCAACGGATGACATGTGCGGTGGCCCTGCCGCGTCAGACGGCCCCACGGGGGAGTCTGTGCCCACCCCTTGTCAGGGGGCACCGCTGGGGGTGGTCTCGGCGAGCACCCTGAGATCAGCCAGGTGCCAGGGCTGGGGGCTCCAGGCCTCGGGACCATCAGTCTCCATGGGTGTAACGGGATCGCTTCCCTTGGGAGGCCTGCTTGGCAGGGTCACCAGGACAGGGACGGTGACCCCGCCCGGAGCTGTGCTCAGGGTCCTGTACCTCCCATCCCGCGCCCTGTCTCCTCCAAGCCTGCTGAGCGTGCTCCCGGCTCAGGGAAGTCGCCTGTGTGTGTGCGTGCGTGCGTGTAGGGCCGGGGGACTCCATCTGGGCACAGATGTGGCTCTGGACAGGTGTGGGCTCAGGCCTGGTTCCCCTTGGGACAGCCCAGGTGTGCCCCAGAGAACAGACATCTTGGAAACACAGGGGGACCCTGTACCTGGGGCAGGTGGGGGTCAGGGCGTCCCCTTTCATGTCACCCTGGGGGATAAAGCCAAGCAGGCCCCTGTCAGTCTCCAGCGTCTCCTGACTCCCATTACCCTGCAGGAGACGTGAAAGTACTAGCCCGACCCCAGGAACAGGTGCGTGCTGGATGTAGCTAGTATTTATTACGTAATGGTTCCGAGACAAAAATCAACTACAGAACACTGAGGCTTCTACAGTAGCCGATTGCAGACATGGTAAATCCAGATCTCATGTTCTAACCATTTTCTTATTTATCCTTGAGAAACCGCTCACTGCCTTCACTTCGCTCTGGAGTCTCCACCGGCAGCAACGCCTGTTACATGAGAAACCAGCTCCAGTGCCACTTTCGGCACAGTAGAAGGTGGATGGGCACGAACCACGATGACGACAAATCAGCGCTTCGGAATACACAGCTGCATCCCACGGCTGAAACAGCACGTCTTCTGTAAATTCAGAACGTGTTTACGAACTGTCAGCATCTTTACATCTTGATGCTTTCTGCTTTCTTCCACAGTGAGCGCCACAAGCGTGGGGTCCCCAGCCGCATCTGCTCACCCTCCTGAGGAAGGGGTGGCGTGCGTTCTCCCTACAGCGCCCAAAGACGGTCCAGGTGGAAGATCTTCATTTCTTGTATTTTTTGGACGCTGGGGACAGAACGGGCCGTTCATGTGCTAAGTATGTCCTTCCCCACCGGGTTCCCTGCCGGCCCCCACAGCGGCGGTCTTATAACGGGTAGGGGTATGACGGGCTGCAAACTTCAACTCCCCGTCACCGAGGATGCTTAATCGGCTGGTGGCAGACGGCTCAGGACGTGGTAACAGCACGTACTCGCTGAGTGTGCTACACTCTCTCCCCTTCCACTCTTTCTTAGGCAAAATTTGGTCACCTAATTTCTGCTACCCATCCATCGTGTTTTGGACACCAACTGTCCATTCCTGCCTACACAACATGCGTGTGTGCACACATGACTGGAGATGCGTGTTGAACCGTGTTACACATGGACAGCGTCCAGCACTCAGACGCCGAGAGCGAGCCCTGTCTCCGCACACACCCCCGGCCAGCCCCCAGCCAACCCTCCCTCGTACAAAATGCAGCCTGGGAGACAATCCCGCCTCACGATACACCAAAATACATTCTTCCGCTCTAATCTCTTTAACCTAATGTTGTCCACCCATGTCTTAAAACTAGGGGAGAAATCCTAGTCTTCCTGCTAGGGAATTAATTTAAAAAAGTCTTTCAAAGCAGCAGTCAGAAACTGTTCTTGTAACAGGAAAATGGTACTGTGCTATCAGACTGAGATTTAAATACACCGAACTGCTTTTTTCGGAGCTCTTTCAAGAGTGAGGCTGACTTGTGTCACTTCACGGCCTCGCCATCCTTCCAGTTCCAGGGGATGCACAGGTCGCCGTCCTGCAGGACCGAGTAGAAGTGGGACACGCACAGGCGCATGCCGCTCAGGGCCGGCAGCGAGCGCGCGACGAGCCGCTCGAGGCAGGCGGCCATCTGCCGGCTCGAGACGCTGGGCTCCTTGTAGAGCTTCTCCAGGGAGAACTTGTGTGTGGAGGCTTGGATCAGCTTGTCTTCGATGACCTTTAACCTGTGACAGGGAAGAACAAGAGCGATGCTGCTGTCAGCTCAGGCCAAGGAAAGAACACGAAATGCAAGTGTTTTCGAGACACCGGGGCTGGAACCTTCCACTCACATGAAACTGGTGTCCGGATGAAGTGGCACTCCGGCAGCCAGGCACCCAGGGGGACACTCCTCCCTCGAGCACCTGGCCCGGCCCAGCTGCAGGGGGAGGCCTCCTCTCTCTGCCCTTCCCACCCCGTTCTGTCCCTGGACCTGGGCTCTGGAGACAGACGCCAGGCAAGCGAGGTCAGAGGCTCCCACATTACAGCCTCACTGCTGTGTGGGACCTGCGTCACCGGAAGCTGTGGGGCGGGCAGGTCACACGCTCACCGAGTCCTCGCAGTGAGATGGGAAATCCGGTGACGTCACCTGGCCCTCACACACCCATCCCACTGCCTTGCCACTTCCCGCGGCAGCTCTGGGGTCCTCCTTCCTGAGGGTCTTTAGCTGCGCTGTCCTGGTTGCCCTGATGTCCTGAACAGATTTCAAACGGTGGTCTCAGCCCTCTTTCCTGAGCGTCCACGTATGCTCCAAGCAGTGGGTAACGGCAATGTCTTTTATTGAAATAACTTTTTCAAAAGGTGAACACGCTTCATGTATTTTGATCACACAATGTAACAAGTATTACCTGGGTTAAAAACACCCAAGAGTCTACATTTCTTCTCTCTGACTGCTGCAAACACCACAGCTAAGTGCCCAGGGTGCCCACACGGTAGAAGCGCATTTGGAAACAGCTCTGAGGGTTAACTGCTGACCCCGTCTGTTCCGCAACCTTCGCGAGTGCCGCGTGTCCTTCCGGGTGCCGGCGGCACCGTGCTGCTAAGAGTCAGGACAGCAGACAGGAGCTGCGGTGACAGCTTCTCCACGTCACCCCCGTGGGCCGCTCTCCGGAGCAGGGGAGGACACTAGTTTTCTACACAGGGCTTTTTCACTTGCTCAAAAAAACAATGTGGCTGAGCAAAAAGTGACACCGCAGTCTGGCTGCCAGCGTGTGTCCCCTGGGGCGTCCCGTGTGGCCTGCTCCTGCTCACGAGGCCCAGGGTCGTGTCCCCAGGTCTCCCTGACCCAAGGGAGGCCCTGTGGGGGAAGGACTGCGATTGCTAATGAACCGATTGCTGACGGTCGGGTTACAATCCCAGCCGTGTGAGCGCGCGTGGTGCGGGGTGCGGGAGGCTCGCCAGAGGATGGCTACCAGCTGAGAGGCAGAAATGGAAAGGGATAATGAATTACTCCTGCTGGTCTCAGTTACGTTCTGGGTTCTAATAAAAGGCGACTGAGATGAGTGATCGGGGCTGCTGCAGTCCCGGAGGCTGTGGGCCCCGATTCCAGACTTTTGCTTCTCCTGTTCTTATCGTTTACCTTTTCTTATTCAACCGCAGGCACCTCGTTCTGGGGACCTGTCACCACAAGTAACACCAACCAGGCTCTACTGTGGCAACCACAGGGTTACATTCTCAGCACCCAAACTTTGCTGCCACTGCACCTCTGCTCGCTGTGTACGGAGCAGGCATGAAACACCACACCGGGGAGGCCGGGACACAGCACCAGGTAAAACACCCCCGCCCCCAGGGAAAAGGCTACAACGCAGACGCCCGCATCTAAGCCTGAAGAGTGTCTCCGAGGCCCGGGCAGAAGCCAGGGAAGTCTGCACCTTGGACGACTGCAGCCTCCTGCAGCCTCAGGAAACCCAGCCTCTCCCGAGACACGTCACGCCCCTCCCCGCTGTCCCCAGCGATCCGACCCATCCTCCGCGTCACTGTCCTCTGGATGCCGCTGCCATGGTTCATGACGAGCGCCCGGGCCCAGGACAATGGGGTAAGTGTGTCCCCAGTGGTAGGGTGACGGCGTGTGTCTCAGAAGCCACCGGGTCCAGAAGGCTGCCTTGGGCGGTGGGGCAACCCCGTCCCCGGCACGGCCATCTGAGCGGAAACGACTCAGGCCAGTGCAGCGCCTGCTGAGCACCTGCCTAGGCCAGGTGTAGCGAGCTGGGTTCTGCCCTCAGCACTGCAAAGAAGTATTTTGTAAAAAAATTTTTTTTCCGTTTCCTTATGATTGCTTTGCTTTGCTTTGCTCAGGGAGGCCGGCAGGGTGCCAGGCCCTGTGTGGGTGCAGAGCAGAGCTCTGCTCACCTCTGTGAAAGCAGCCGCTTTCTAGAGGGCAAGGGCACTCCTCCCTGTTACAGAAGCGACACCTGCCGCTAAGCCCACAGCTCAGGCGCCTCTGACGTCGGCAAGCACCTGCTCTGCGACGCGGGCGCGGCAGCTCCGTGCCGAGCTCGGGGGCAGGTGGGCACATGGGCACCTACAGATCAGTCAGTTCCTACAGTGCTGGTTTTGTTTCTCTGTAGTGCCAGGCAAGCGCTCTACCACCACCCTCCACCCCAGCCTCGCATCCGGTCTCGGCCTCCCCCGTTTCAGAGTCCCAAACCCGAATCATCAGAAGTCAGACTGATGCTGGGCGTGGTGCCGCACACCTGTAATGCCAGCACTTGGGAGGCTGCGGCAGGAAGATCACTCTGAGCTCGAGGCCAGCCTGAAATACGCAGTGAGACCCTGTCTCAAAAATCAACAAAAACCAAAATAAAACAAAAAAGAAGTCAGACTGCACACCGCGATGCAGAGGCTGACGGTACTCACCGCTCCCTCCTCGTCACGTTCTCCCTCGCCTGCTGGGCTCTGCTGAGCAGGAACCACTGCAAGTCTGCTGGGTCACAGAGCGTCGGGATGTTAAAGTGCCCGAGTTCGTGCAAACTTGGCGCGTACTGGTCACTGAAACAGAGAGACACTAAGCGAAAAACCGCTGGCTCCGTCCGCTCCCTGAGAAAACGTCTCATTGGTCTTTGAGTACCTGAGAAGGATCGCTAAGGAAATCCACCTTAAAAATACAGTACAGCAGCGCTGACCGAGAGTCCCAGGGGTGCCCTTTACTAGGGTGACTGTGTTTCCCAGCCCTGCCGAGCCTGCGCCCCCAGAGCGGAGGGCCGGGAGAAGGCGCTGGCGCCCCAGCACTACACGGCACAGCGTGCGTACAGGCCCGGCTGCCGATTTACCCTAGCGTGCCTCCCCCGGGAGCGACCCTCACACTTAACCCCGTTCTAGAGATGCAGTCCCCTATCCTGTGAGCAGAGGGCTGCTATGGCACTCCCTCCTGTCATTCCTGAGCGCCGCACACGGACGTACAAGGCAGCGCATCGCCCGCCCGCCCGAGGGACAGCGTCCTGCCCCGGTGCTCACCTGTTAAGGATCATCTGCAAGCCGCGGAGACTCTGAGGGTGGAAAGGAGCCCTGCTCTTCAGCAGTCTGTTACAGAACACGTCGAGGAGAGAGTAATACTCTTCCAGGGTCAGCGCTGGCTGCAGCTCCTCCATATACACAACTTGGATGCCACCTAAAAGCCCGCTTATTCGGTCTTCTAAGAGCATCAGCTTCCTCCGGAGGTCAAAATAACTTGGCAACCTTTCAAAAAGCTACAGTGTTTAGAATAAAAGAAGCCATATTTAGTTGTATGTGACTATATAATAACTCAACTTCAGGATCCCCATAAATAGCACTGAGAAAAGTCTAAGAAGAAAATTATTGTCTCAAATGGAAAAGACTTTGTCAAATAGCTAGAAAGACTTAATATTTCAAACAAACCTCCCTATGTCTAGGAGATTTACACAGGAATTGAAGAGACTAAGCCTTAAGTACTAATTTACATATTCAGGTGGAAACTGTAAGCGCATTCAGAATGATTCAGAAAGTTTTTAGAAATAAAGTACGTGCATACACTTCAATTCCTAATCTATTTCTCAGTGTTTACTTTCAATCAACTAAATGCGATTGAATACAAGTATTAGAGGGCACCCACTGCGTATTTCAGCAATGAACCAGACTCCGCAGCTTAGGGATTATGAGCCTGTAAGGGCCTCAGAGTTGGGGTCCACGGAAGCAACCCCCAAGCCCAAGCCCAGCATCCTTAGTGCCACACAGGGCATAGATTTAGAGCAGGGTCCAAGGACCTCCAAGGAGGGCTGGCTGGACCCATCTCAAACAGGGAAATGGGGTTTGGAGGAGGCAGAGGGGTACGGGGGGGGGGATGGGGACACGGCCGACGGGCAGGAAGCCAGGGTGGGGGCGGCCTGGCAAGGATCCAGTTTCTGCTGAAAGCTGGGGTCTGTGAGACTGGAAGAGGAGGAAGGCATCACCCCCTCACCGCCTGCCGGAAGCTGTGTGTGGTGGCGTGAGCCTGTAATCCCAGCACTCGGGAGGCTGAGGCAGGAGGAGCACTGCAAGTTTGAGACCAGCCTGGGCTACAAAGTGAGCTCAAGGACAGCCTGAACCACAGAGACAGACCCTGTCTCAAAAAGACAAAAACCAAAAACAAAAAAACCTCCCTATAATAAAAGCAGTAACAATAACATGTGGCAAATTATTGGTAATCTTTTATTGCATTTTGTGATTAAAAAAACTGACTCCTTATGTTTTCGATTTTCCTCTCAATGGGTCCTCCATGCACACATGGTAAGTGCGCTGAAAAACTCTTTCGTTTTGCAGTCCTGGAGATTAAACCCTGGGCTGTGTGCACGCTAGGCAAGCATTCTCCTCATCTACACTCCCAGCCCTTTTTATTTTTTACTTTGCCCAGGCTGGCCTTGAACGTGCAATTCTCCTGCCTCAGCCTCCCAACTTGCTGAGATTGTGGGTGTGCAGTACTGTGCGCGGCTTGAAAACCTTTTTATTTTGAGGCAGCTGCGATGCACACGCCCTCGGCCGCGGCAGCTTCACTTGCATTCACCATGGCCTCACTTGATGCTGTTTCATCACTGCCACCACTACCAGACTCCCGCCAGCGCCAGCGGCCGTTCACAGCCAGGTGCGCTCCCAGCCTCGCCCCGGGTGTGCCCCCTGGGACTCGCACAGGGCGTGGTCTTCCCTCCGCCCCACCCCCTGCCCCGCCCCTGCAACCATCCAGGCCCAAGGACAGGAGGCTCCTGGCGCTCCTCATGGGCAGACACCGTGACTTTTCACTGTGCTGTATAAACGCCAAGGGCGCAATCACTGGGTTCTGTGCTAGGCACGCGTGGCTCTGTCCACTGGCCAAGCTCTCCTGGGGCGCGGGCACGGGGCCACAGTCCCAGCAGCAGCAGCTCCTCCTGCGCACGCTCCCCGGCACTGGCGTTGTCGATTTCCATTTCAGCCGCTCGGGTCAGCAGGCCGAGATGCCCGCTACGAGTGTTTCGGGGCTGGGGAGCAAAGCCCGGCCTCCTGGGCTCCGCACCTCAGCCCTCACGCGACCTCCACTTGCACTTCCCTCACGGTGACAAGAAGCGTCCTTTAAGTGCTGTGACCTGCATGTCCTCGTTGTGACACGTCTTTTTAAGTCTTGTACCGTTTTCTGGTTGGGCTGGCCATTATTATTTTACCAATGAGTGCTAAAAGTTCTTTGTGTGTACTAGACAAGTGTCTATGAGATACGTGGCTTGCGAGTATTTTCTACCAAATATGGGACTTGATCGGATGCTGCACCAGAGAAGACGTGTGGGGCACGGAACGGCGTGGGAAGATGCTCCCCAGTCGTCATCAGGGCTGCAAATTACAGTGCCGCAAATTACAGTGCCGAAACCTGTTAGGAAGTCTAGAGCTAAAAACCTCTACTGCGGGCCAGGCATGGTGGCCCGTGCCTGTCATCCCTGCTGCTCAGAAGGCTGGGCCAGGACAGCTGCCTGGGTAACACTCACTGTCTCAAAACAAAACCCTAAATATTAAAGCAAAATAGATGGCTATTTCTGGCCTTTTCTTAGTCAAAATATCTCGCCATAGGATCCGCCAATTCTCTGGGTGTTATGGCCAGGAGAAGGAAAATGTATTTGTGCACGGATGTTCACAGCAGCTTTGTCTGTGAAAGCCCCAAACTGCCAACGGTGAACGGCTGCTGTGACTGTGCTATATTCAAACGTGGCACATCACACAGCAATGAAAAGGAGCAAAATACACTTTAACAGTGTCAGTGAACCTCAAAATGAAAGAAAGTAGCCAGATGAAAATGTACACGTACGCTACGATTACTCGTGTAACTTTTGAGATCATCAGGGGACAGCGTGAAAAGACAGACCAGTCACTTGGGGGGGCAGGAGGAGGGTGACACCCACGTGTGGGAGTGGGGGCCCACTATCTGGATTCTGGCAATGGCTTCCCCCGCGTAGCCACACTGCAAACCCCTGGGATACACAGGAGACGGTGCAGTCACTGAACGTCAGGTAGAGCTCGACAGCGTGCAAGAACACGACAGAAGCAGGCTTCCGGCTGCGCGCACGGCTGCAGTGTCACAGGCACAGCCGCCCCGGCCGGCTGCCCCCACACCCGTCACACAGTGCAGACGCCACGACACGGGCTTCCGTGCACTGCCTGGGCCGGCGTCTGTCCCGGACTCTGCCTCGGCGCCCCTTACTTTTATCCAGTGGTGGTGGACGTCCATGGTCCCCAGCATCACGTGGCCCACTGCGCTCATGCCGGAGCGGTCCGTGAAGATGAGCGTGCATCCTGAGGATGAAGCACAAGCCCTGGTCATGTCGGAGGAGCCTCACACTCAGCAGTGCAAAGAGAGCTGCAGTGTTCAGAAGTGGCTGGATCTAGAATGTGTGAATGACTCATGGGGCAATTCTGGGATTAGGGGTACTGGGGTTAAGGGTGGGTGATTACTAAATCTGTCCACTGACAGGACTGGCACCGCCCTGGTCTCGGGAGCCTGGAGACAGTGTAAGGGACAGAAAGGGGATTGTCTCTTGCTTGCTTTTGCTGTCTTCTGCCTGCCATGAACTCCTTCTCCTCTGCGATGCCTGTCTGCTGTACCAGCCTGCCTTGGAGCCAGTTGCCTATGGACTGAACCTGCTATACACTGTGAGCCAAGTAAACCCTTCCCACTTTACCTGTGGCGTCCGGTGTTCTGTCTCAACAATGAGAAAGTAACTAAGACCCCGTAGAAATGCATGACTGCACTCAGCGGGAGTGGAGATGCTAACTTGTCTCTGCTTTCCTCAAAGGCAGAGACATAAATATCCTGCTGAGATAAGGTCACCGTGTTGACCAGTTTACAGATGTGCCTGGCATTAGAGGAAGCAGCGGGAGTTTACCTTTGGCTTTCTGGAGTGTCTCCAGGTTCTGCTGTGCGAGGCGGCCTAAACTGTGCAGCTGGCTGCAGCGGTGGGCGATGCCCCAGCTCCTCTGCCACCTGCGACAGACACGCATGACAGCCATACCTGCTGTGGCCAGGACAGCCCTGCGCCACGCAGCCTAACAAATCCCCCGTTTCCAGATAAGCGGATGTGCACAGATGCAGCCGGATGGAACAGGGGCTGTTTACCCGAGGCAAGCACATGGCCACTGCGCTCAGGTACCCAAAGGTCTGTGCCAAGCAAGTACACGACGCACCATGTCGTTTCTCTTTTAAAATAAGATGAAGGGCCTGCAGGACTCAAAAAAAAAAGCAAGCAAAACTGCTTTTATTTCTGTGGGTTACACATTTGCAGCCCACAGTAAAGTTGGGAAATTTCTCTACAAGCTAGCAAAGTAATGCTCATCTTTTATGTTCCTAATGCAGTCTGCTTTAACAGAACGTTTAAAATTTAGGGCTGGAGATATAGCTCAATGGCACAGCACCTGGCTGGCAAGTGTGAGGCCCTGAGTTTGAGTCCTGGTACCAAAAAAAATTTTACTTGAAAAAGTTACTTCATGCACATGAACTTGCTTACTTCGTCATTTATAAGAACAGCATTATCTTATTTTTAACTGGAAAGCCTATGTTACTAGACTGCTGCCGGGTGGATCTTCAATGATCCACACATCCAAGGTGTTGTTCCCAGCCCGAGGAGCCCGTGGTGTCACCGGGACATGGTGTGCGGCCTTCACGAGGTGACACCTGGGGAAGGCCTGGCCATTGGGGTATGTCTCTTCTGGTCACTGCGTGCCCTTAAAGGGGACAGTGGGGCTCTCCCTCACCCTCTCGTTGCTCCACATCATGAAGGGGTTCACTCTGCATGTCACAGGCCCCCACTCAAAAGCAACAGGCCGATCAGTCCTGGAACCTCTGAAACTGTGGCAGAGCAAACCTCTACTCAGCTGCTTTATCTCCGGTATCTGTTACAGAGCTGGACACAGTCCTATAACCACATAACTATGGACGTGGAAGCAGCCCTGTAACCAAGCACGGCCTGAACACTGCGGACACAATGATAACAAACCGAAAGCTCAAATTCACACCTCTCCACACGTTGTGAGCCCAGAGGCTTTGCTCTGCAGTCAGCATTACCTTAGGAGAAGGAAAATGGTACTACTACGGTGCCCTAATAGTCACTGAGTTCAACTAAGAAAAAAGCGATGGAGTGATACAATGGAAGAAGGAAGCCAGGGCGGGCATGGCGAGGCTGTGAGGGTGCGGGGGGAGCCAGGCCTGAGCCCCCAGCCCTCCGTCCCTCCTTAGGGAGGAAAAGCAGTGTAGTGTCCTTTCAGAACACATTCCCCTGCAGTGGTAGAGGGGCAGTTTCCGAGCTCAAGCAGACTTTGAAAAGTCATCCATGAGACAGAGCCAAGAATACAACACCCACTTCCTCTCCGCTGCCTTCTGCTTAAACTCGAGCACCAATCTTACCCGATCGGGGTATAATGACTTTCTGTATGTTATGTGTAACAGAAGAAGAAGGATATTTTCTGTACACACTTACACTTAAAGAAGTCTAGCAATTATGCCAAGAATGTCAGTACTTAAACCTTAGTTCAATCTTTTAAAAAGTTAATAATTTTTTTGCATAGATGGACACTTGACTACGTTCATAAAAGGCCAACTGAAGAATATTTAGTTATCAGGAAATTAAAGTGAAAGATGCACACACCCAGCAGCTGGTAAGGTCTACGAGCAGGCCCTTCCTATGTATTTTCATCTCTAAAGTAGGTTTCCTTCTTTATTACCTGATATCTGAAAGCTGCAACAGGCTAGACAGCTCGTCTTTTAAACGATGTAGTTCTTTTCTAAGAGGCAAACTATTCTTCAGCTTTTTAACAGCAGTTTTCCCATTGTTATCTAACCAGGATCTAGAAAGAAAAAACAGACACATATTTTGCAATGCTGACATAATGTAAACACTGCAGCATTAAGACACAAGAGTTACCCTAAAGTAGGTCCAACACCAAACTGAGTTTTCAGCCAGACTTCTGCCGAGCCCATTCTCTGAGAAATGCCTTGTTCTAAAGGAGGCTGCTGTGTCCATCTTAAAAGCATTTAGAAGTCCTCAGATTGAACAAGAAAGGCACCGTAAGTCACTTCAGAGGTGTTAGATATGACTGGGCACATTCAGAACATGCCAAGGTGAGGATAATCCCAGAACCAACCAAGTCATCATGCACTTGTGAAGCACACTTACGCTGCAAATCTGCTAGCGTGTCGTGGTGGGACCCAAGAAGAGAAAGTCTACATGGGTAACTGTGAGAATAGAGAGGAGAGCTCCTGTGGAAGTGAGGGAGCTGCCGGGTCTGCAGGACAGGTGGCGGGCGACCTGGAGCCCAGGTCGGCCGGGGAGCGAGCCAGGGCAGGTCCCCTTAAGCAAGTGCACCAGTGTCTGTGCGGTCAGCCAGCGTGCCTGTCGCAGGACACTCACAGCAGGCAGAGGGGCTGCACGGGAGGCCTGCAGAGCAGGACGGAGCACAGGCCCTGCCCTCAGCAAGGTGCTCAAGGTGTTCTGATTCAGGAGCTGGGCAGAGCAATTCAGTCCTTCCTGCAGCTCTTTTAAGGATACTGCCACATACTTTGTCCCTTCTGCATGGTATGTGATGAATCAATCTACATCATTAGTATCAGATATTGCATTTTGTAGTTCCCTAACTTTTCCTTATTTATTTACTTATTTTTGTCTTTTTGAAACAGGATCTCGCTATGCAACTCAGGCTGGCCTTGAGCTCACTTTGTAGCCCAGGCTGGCCTCGAACTTGCAACGATCCTTCTGCCTCAGCCTCCCAAGTGCTGGGTTTACAGGCATGTGCCACTACACCTGGCTTCCTCATTTATTAATACAGCTCATTCAATGTATTTTAAATCACATAAGAAAGAGCGTGACAAGTAAATTACCCAATGATATACCATGTCTGGTTTGAGGAGAAAATATCTTAGAATACAGACAGCCACGCTGCAGGTGTAGCTCAGTGGCAGAGCACTGGCTCTGTGTGCACGAGGCCCTGGGTTTGATCCTCAGCTTCATAAACAAAAAGTAGACTGAAACATAATTGCTCCCACTGAAACATTCATGACTTGATTTTGGAATTCTTTCTTTTTGGTGGTGGTGGTCCTGGGGATTGAACCCAGGGACTCAAACATGCCTGGCAAGTTTCTGCCACTGAGCCACCCCTCCAGTCCTTGATTGTAGAATTCTTACAATTAGTATATAAAAATCAACAGGTCTAGCTTAACCATTTTTGTGAACAAATGTTAACTACTTTGTGAGCTAAGCACGAAAGTTCTAAGCATGGTGTTTAAAGTGCAGATATACACTTCCTCGCTGACTGCTGAGGACCACAGTGACTGAGCATGTGTAGCCCAGATGCTTCTAAAATCCGTTTCCTGCCACAGAGCTCAGCTTCCCAGGAAAACGGCTGATGCCCACTGTGGGCAGAGATGGCAGAGGGGCCTGGACATCTGGGGACTCACAGTCACGGATGCGCCAGGAAGGCGGGGCCGGAAGCAGCATGGAGGGAGGATGGGACTGGGGATGTCACTAGTGAGTATGACGGCCAGGGGGCAAATCTCGGGTGAGGGAAAGGACATTATGCAGCCTTAAGGGTCTCCTCCACAGGACACGCTGATTTTGCTGTGGAAGCAACTTGGTGCTGCGGTTGGGACCCTGAATGTTCCCAGGAGGCCTCGTGTGTGGAGGGCTTGGCCCGGCCAGCGGTGCACCTTCAGGAGAGGCAGAAGCTTCCGGAGGGAGGTGGTCACTGAGGCGCTCCCTGGGAGGAGGGCCTGGAGCCCCTACCCCTTCCTGTTTGTCTTCTGCTCCTCGGATGCCACGGACCTGGAGGCCCCGTCACTGGGCCCTGCCGCCATGACCGCTGGGGCCAGGAGCCAGAACAGGCCTTCCCCTCCTGAGCCGCTCACCTCGCAGTCAGGGAAATAAGAGATGACACTCAGTGCCTTTGGTCTGCACTGCGAGTCACTCTGGGTCCAAAAAAAGAGCAAAGAATTCCTCTTCTTGCCTTTGTTTGGGACAATTTTGTCCTCTCTCGTCCTGCCTTGCCAGGACCTTCTGCTCTAAAAATCACACTTTTTAGAAGCTAAACTTAACTCATTTTTCACAAGGGGTAATGATCTAGTTCAGGTAAATAAGATATTGATGCTCAAGATATAATCTAAGGGCCCTTAATATAAGCATTAAAAACTAAGACACAATTCTGCTATAATGCCGTGTTATTATTCATCTCACCTTCTGAAGGGAAGGAGACTCTTTTTTAGCTAATAATAGATGGGTTTTCCTCAGTGTCTATCAGGATAAAGGTACTTAGAACTGGATGGAAAAACAACGACCAATGAATTAGAGAGCTCCATTTCCCTAATCTCAGTTTTCTAGAATAATGGTTTAATTTGCTGTCCTTTTCAAGAGTGGAAGATTCAAAATGACCTCTTTGGATCCTGCATGTCAACATCCTGCTAATGTCAAAGTAGAAGTTTGAATTTCAGACAAGTATACCTTGGAGGAAACGAAGAATTCACAGCAACACAACTAGCTCATCTACACACAGACACTTTCCTTATGAGAATGCATTTCTTACCAAGTCAGCAGTTATAGTTTAGTAAACACTCATGAAATGAACAGGTAAGAAAAAATGACTGGGCCGGGGATATAGCTCAGTGGCACAGCAGCTGCATGGCGACTGCCAGGTCCTCAGTGTGATTCCCGGTACCAAAAAAAAAAAGAAAAAAATGACCCTTTACATTCCTTCTCAGGTGACTTCTATTGCTACCATGTGTGTTCAGACGCTTCACGCTTCCATATTAAACTATGGGTTCTCTATAATAAGCCACACGTTCCTATTTGTTCCCTGTGTTAATTCAGGTTAATAAAGACACTGGATGGGGTCTGTAGATGAAGTAGTTAGTACACAAATGATTAAAACACGTCCCCAAGTCTTAAGAACTCTGCACCTCTATAGAGCGGTAATTTAAGAACGTTGACTCTATTTATTAAACTGTACTGGATGGCTAGTGTGAAGAGGAGATTACAAAGACAGGCACACCCCAGCGGCCCAGTGGACACTTGTCTAGTGGTGCTGGCTCTGCTCGGCTTCGGTGTGCAGCGCCGCCCCACTAGCTGGCCAGTTCCTGGCTGCGAGTCCCGGGGACGATCTTTCCACAATGGCTGCGCATCCGGCTGCGCATCCAGCTGCCGATCAACACTGTATTCTACGAAACGCTCAACAGCAGGCTGGCTGCTCGCCTGAAATGTACAATACTTTAAGCCCTTTAGCTTAAAAAGATGTGCCGTCCGTTTTGCTTCTGGGCCCTGTCTCATCTAACCTCATTTTTTTCCTACTCATTGGCCCAAACATTCCGCTTACAGTACAGGCAGAAGTTTTTGGCCATGGTACTGGGTACTGTACCCGAGGCCAGCACATGGGGTCATGTCCCGACCCTTCTGGTTTTCTCTTTGATGAGGTCTTGATAAGTCACTAAATTTCCCAGGCTGGGCTTGAACTGCGATCCCTCCTGCAGGGCCAGGATGGCCGCAGAAGTGTGCTGGCCCCAGGGCCTGCAAGGCTGGGAACCTCCCACTCCGCCCGGACTCACAGCACCCACTGCAGCCCCGCTAGCTCTTAGGTGCAATTTACCTTCTTCATGCTCCTGCTTTTCTAAACCAAAATGAAATTCACCAGCTTTTGTCCCACCAGGGTGATCTTCACTTTTGCTCTGCTTTTTTTGTTGTTCTGAGGCAGGGTCTTGCTAAGCAGTTTAGACTGGCCTTGAACGCACAGCAATCCTCCTGCCTCAGCTTCCTGAGTGCTGGGATTATAGGTGTGTGCTACCATACTGAGCTGGCCTTACTTCTGTGCCTCATGAATTCTGGTCTGTCTCAGACTGGTTTCATTTCTGTTTTGTTTATAGAAGAGAATCCGAACAATTAACATGTATGCGTTTAGGGTAGTGATTTATCTATCAGCTACACATATAGATAAACGCATATAGATAAACATGGCTGGGCTTCTCCACACCAAGACATTCATGTGCTCCTTCCAAGCTACTTGCACCTCCCTTTCTGAAATGGACTCTGCCACTCTTCCATCTCCTCAGGCTGATTTGGGAGAACTCCAGAGTGAGCGCAGACAGTTACAGAGCAGCTTCCGCGTCCCTGGACAACAGAGCAGGCATCCTAGCCTGCAGGAAGCCAGGCCTTGAGTGGCCTCGGGATACTTCAGCTGCAGCCGCAGACACAGGACGGGACTGAGCTGTGCGTGGCCTCACATGACTTACTCAAAGCACACCAGTGGGGCTTCACAACAGCACAGCTGGAAGGGAACAAGGCTTTGTATGCCGTTTCTACAGTTAAAGAATTCTCCAGAATCCATTCAAGACAATGTTTTCTAAGGCCTCTACATACGGACGACTACACTAATGCACACTGCAACTTAACTCTGCGGAGAACCTGAGAGTGCTGCCTCGTGGAAAGGTTAGGACTCCTTCGTCTTCGGCACAGCCCTTTCTCTCACACTAGGGACAACGTGAACAGAACTTTAAAAACTTAAAAACAATCTATTATACACAGTATTTTTTTTTGTGGTCTTTTTGAGACAAGGTCCCACTACGCAGTTCAGGCTGGCCTTGAGCTCACTTTGTAGCCAAGGCTGGTCTCCCTTGCAATGATCCTCTTCCCGAGTGCTGGGATTACAGGTGTGTAATTACGCCTGGCTTTATATGCAATATCTTGTATGAATCAAAAGACAAACACGGAGTATTCCGGTAACTTTAAGAAACATGAAATACCTATCCATAATGATTGCTAGATTAACTATACTGACAGGATTACTTTGCTTAGAAAATTAGATTTGCGTGTTAAACACCAACTACAAACGGCAGTTCAGTTAAATCAAACTCGTACGTACGTTAGGGTCACCTCCTTTCTCGAGACTTGCTCAAGGTCTTGGTCAGGGTCCTTAAATCCAGTGAAAGAGTAGTAAGACTTGTCCCATTTGATGGGCCTATTGGGTATCCGCGTGGCTTCTCTGAGAGGCTGGGAATGCACATTAGTGTTCAAGCTTTGGATATGTTCCACAGATAAACTGCAGGAGTTGAGAATATACAATACTGTGCTTAGCAGGTCTCTGGTGTGCAAAGTAAATCTGACTGCTCGAAATCCTAGAGAATATAATTCCCCCAAACAATTAATACAGGTGATTATTTGCTTTACCTTTAAAATAGTATTGCATGCAACATTTATACAATCAAAATACTTTATAACATCCCATTACTGATTACAATTCATGCTACTGGAAAATCACATGTAAAATGGAAAACAACTTTCCTTCTCCAAAACTCTATGAGGCTCTTTTTACCTTCATCAGTTTCTTTAACGTCTCCTCCCTTTACTAGCTGGGCGCCTGTGACCAAACCCCTCCCTGCCCAGAGGGCAGTCAGCATGTCTGCGATGCTGCCCATGAACCGGGTCCCCAGGGAGATGGGAAAGCGCTCCCTCCTAAGAGCAGACGTTCAACAACAGTATCACACGCAGACAGCAAGCACGGTGGCACGGTTACATGTGCCACAGAGATGGCACGGTGACAGGTGCAGATGAGCAGGGCCAGCTGCCCAGTCTCTGTGGTCACAGAAAACCATCCCAACTGCTCTTTCCGGTTGCAAGGATCCTGACTCTCCTCCCTCTCCTCGCCCGCTGTGCTGCTAGCTTGGCAGTATTTTCCAGAGTGATTAGAAAGTGTCTAAGCGTTTGCAAGTTAGTGCTTCACTGTCGGTTCTGGGGGCCGGGTGAAGGTCTGTGACTGAACTTGGTGGGTCACTGCAGGAAAGCGGCTGCTCCTTCAGCTGGTGTGAGGTGAGGTTCAACCTGAGCCGACAGCGTCTCAACCCCACGCCCAGCAACCCCGCTGTCCCAGCCTCTCTGGTCACACGCGAGAAGCCCAGGCCCAAGAAGGTCAAGGGCGAAGGGCTTGAGTCTGAGCTGATACCAATCCAAGGACTTTCTCTCCAACAACACGCTCTTTTCTTTTTTTAATAATTTTAAAAATTAGTTTTGAAAATTATACAAGTATTAAGTACACGCTTATCGTAAAATTACATACTAGTTACAAGTATGTATGCATATATGCTGAAGCACAAGTCGTGTTAACAGACATGCAATCTCACACCTTTACGAGATGAGTCCATTGTTCACGGTTAGGTAGCTATTCTTACAAAGCTGAGTTACGGTGGCAGCTTCTGGCCACATGTGGCTGATGAAAATTAGATTAATAAAAAGCACCCTGGCTGCCTCTCCAGCATGCCATGGTCACATGGTGCGAGTGCTTGCTGCAGTGCTTCGAGAAGACACAGACCGTTTCCCCTGCAGGAAGGCGTCTGGGACAGTGCTGGTCTAACCCTTTCCTCTGTGCTTCTCTGCGTGCTGTTATATGATACATGCGTATGTGTTTACACAAACACACAGCCATGCACTTGGAACTGCTCCTTTTACTTTTCTTAAGACAGGGTCTCACTATGCAGCCCAAGCTGGTCTTGAACTCACTATGCAACCCAGGCTGGCCTTAAACTCGTGGTGAGCCTTTTGCCTCAGCCTCCTGACCGCTGGGATGACAGGCGTGCATTACCACCCGATGGGAACTGTTCCTTTTCATTATATAAACGGCATCACTCTGGATAACACCTTTTGGACTCACTTTTGTCACAGCGATGGTGACCCTCCCACCTCTGTATGTATCAGTCAGCCTCACTCTTTTTAGCAGCTATGTGACAGTCCCTTTAATGAATGCAACACAATTAATACTTCCAGCAGTGATGGACACAGAAATTGTTCTCAGTTCTTTGCTATTCCAAAGCCTGAAGTGTTTTCCTGTCTTTGCACCTGATGACTGACACCACACTGTAAATCATCCTCAGAGACACATCTTCTGTTTGCCAGAGAAAGTCACGGAACCCAGAAGATACAAACTAAGAAAGGTTTTCACTTGACCCACTTGATGGAAAAGTGAGAGCTACAGCAGAATTGTTCTATCACAGTTGTGAAGCAGAAAGAAAAGCCCAGGCTCGTGCATGTCCTAGAGGTGGGGAACGAAGAACGCACCCTTGACACTGCTAAGCTGGAAGAAATCTGTTTCTCTCTTCTCAGTTCATTAATTTTTTTAGACCGGGTCTCGCTATGCAGTTCAGACTGGCCTTGAATCTACTACGGAGCTCAGGCTGGCCTCAAACTCACGGTGACCCCCGAGTGCTGGGATTACAGGCATGTGCCACCACGCCTGGCTACTTCATTAATTATTTCATCCAATAAAAGGGCTGCTGTACAGTGAGCACTACTTGTACCAGGATGTACATGTCCTTTACTGGTTCTTTACATTGCTACAGGAGGGATTTTGCAGTTTTAGGGAGATAATTCAAAATGCATTCTAGGAAGCTTGTATGAATTCATATACTTACAAAGTATGAAGACGCCATCTCACTATATGGGGTTATTATTAGTAAAAAATGAAAAAATTTTACAGACAAAATATTGTATCTAATTATTTCAGCTTGCACTTGAATACTGAGACTAACGTTTTTGTTGGCTACGTAAGAATTATTTCTGGAGCTGCCCATTCATAGTCTTTGCCGTTTTTATAATGTAGAGTTTTCTTCTTGGTTTATAAGAACTCTTTATATTATTGTACATATTATGTTTTCTCCCATTTCTAACAATTTTTTTCAGTAACCTATTTTTGCTTAATGAGTAGTTTAACAAGTTAATTGAAAGTGTAGAATTTTTGTCTTTACTCAGAGCCAGCTATAGCTGTATGCTTTGGTATTAGTTTATAGAAAGTTAAGTCTTTAGCTTGTTTTAAAACTTACTGTAAAAATAAAGCTTATTTTCTCATAGGCCACCAAAAAAAATGTGGAGCTAAAGAAGTTATTAGGCTGGGGCTGGGGATTTAGCTCAGTGGCACAGTGCCTGCCTGGCAAGCGCAAGGTCGTGAGTTCGATTCCCAGTACCGGAGGGGGAAAAAAAAAAAAAGAAGACATTATTAGGCCTTTTAAGAATTTCAATGTATTAATGCACACAGCTCAGGAAATTTCAGTGATTAAAAATCTCTGGTAAACATTTTACTTTACTACCATCTTAATTATCAATGAAAAATTTTCATACTCTAGATACAAAACCTAAAGAACTGATTTTAATTTTACAATCAGACAAAAATGTTAAAAATGGAAGTTTTAAATCTCCATCAGATTGCTAATCTTGTCAATAAAGGAAAAGGGAAAAACGTGTACTAGCAACATTTTAAAAGAATAATGTGCTATGTGAACCAACCACCAGACATATCAGTTCTAGTACCAGCTCTGCCCATTTTGTAAATCCACCTTCCTCTTTAACTACATTTACATTTAACATTTAAGCTGATAGCAGGATTGATGTAGTGACTGTAGCTGCAGAAACGAGCCTGAATTTCTTAAATACATAAAAACTATAATATAGATTGGTGGTACCATTTTTATTTTAAAAACTGTAAAAAGGTATAATCTGCCTCTATACATTTTATCTGTCCTCTGGGAGAAATCATGAAACCTAAGCAGATCATTATCTATCTGATGTCTCTTCAATCCCTAGCCAAACCTTGGTGCTGAGTAAGAGGGATGTTTATCTCCTCAACAACATTTACGAACATTTGGTTTGATACTAGCAAAACGTGTCTCACAAGACTCTCATGGCTAAGTGGCACATTCATAATAATGCAAACAAAAAATGATTATTTGGCTGGAGATTTAGCTCAGCGGCACAGTGTCTGCCTGGCAAGTGCAACGTCGTGAGTTCGATTCCTGACACCGGAAAAAAAAATTATTTACACTTTCAAACAGAACGATAAACAGTTATTACTTATTATTTACACAATTCTTTAGCACAGCTATTCCTTTACAAAGGGCCATGAGGTGACTTTTTGTCTGAATAATGAAGAGGAGCTATTTTTAATAAAAGCCTAAATCAGAGGGAGATGGAGAAACTGTCAAGAAAAGGAGTTTGTGGTGTTTGGATCTTCCACATTCTATCATAGAAAGACAATCGGCAGGAGGAGATGGCTACGCAGTGCCGGCCCGAGAGCTGGGCGGAAGCTGCCTTCCCAGCCGGGCTCTGCCTGGCTCTCAGAGACGGAGCCCTGCTCCTGGCAGCCTGGGCAGCCGTGGATAGAGGAGACAGAGACCTTGGGTTTCCTTTTAACAGACAAAGTTCTGGAGGTTAAGTCCAGGTTATACAGCTTGTCACCAGTAGAGCTAGAAATAAATTCTAGGCCTCAAAAGACTATCAAATTCTGAGTTGTGCAATAGTTTATTTCAAAAGAAAATTACAGAGTATTTTCTGTTTTTGTCTTAACTCACAGAAAGCGCTCAGTAAATCTTTTTTCTTTTTTTTGTTTGTACAGGGAATCAGGACCTTGTGCTTGCCAGGCAGGCACTTATGCCACTGAGCTATATCCCCAGCCCCTCAGTAAATCTCTATTTTGTTGTAAAATAAAGTTATTTCCTCAAGGATCATCAAAAGGATATTCGTCTAGAGAAAGGACAGACTCACGGGGCTCTCACCCAGTAAGGTGCTGTTTCTAATTTTAGGCATGACTGGATCACGACTAAAGCAGAAGTAGAAGGTACTGGAAAGACGCTGCAAGGCAGAAGGCTGTCTCCCACCGGAACGCCCATGGACGCTTCCTCTAAAACCCAACCAATCTCCTAGCTCCCACAAGGGACGCTGCCAACCTCTCCGGGCATGGTGAGGCCTGAGAAAGAGAACGCAAGCTGCAGGTTTTAGAAGTACAGGTTGTTACGGTATTTGTGCTGCCCAAGCAAGCATGGAAGTGTAAACTGTTACAGAAAGACTAAGTCACACTGAAACCAGAAGGGGACAAGCGCTTCACTTTTACAGATAATAAAGCTTACAGTGCACAAAAAATGGCTTGTTCAAAGATGTGCAGCTAGCAGCAAAATTTAATTTGCCTAAATGACACTGTCTTTCAGCGGTCAGGGCTTCAGAGGCTTTCTGGCGATGTCAAAATGAGGGCGCACACGTGACTGACTCTTTCGGGGGCAGCCGGAAACATGAAACACCTACCAGAGGAGCTAAAGGGTTCCTGGCCTTCCGAGGAAGTCTGGTCCGTTTCTCGCACATAAAATGTAAGCTGAGTTGGTTTCAAAGACTTGAAGCCTGGTTTCTGGAGGTTTTCTAAGTAGACACTTAGTCTCTTAAGAGAATTTTCATTGACTTCCTGGAAAAAATACGAATGGTATTTACACAGAAATAAGAACAAGAAAAGCAAAGCAGATAGCGACCTTTTAAATGGTACTGAGGGTATTAAATGATTTGGAATTTTAAAATGCTGGAATTTTACAGTTTTCTTTTCTCTTTCTTACAGTCCTAAGGATAAAACCCAGGGTGCCCTGCATGCCAGGCCAGCGCTCCACACCACAGCTGGATCCGCTGGGTCTCCAGTGTGGGGCTGGTCTTTTGCACCCTTACCTCTGACTCCGGAGGGGCCACTGTAGGCCAATCTTGTAAATTTCTGTGTGCCGTGTTCAGTCTGATTCAGAGCCTGTGAGGAGCTTCACCCAGCCCCGCGAGCTCTTGCACGCACTAATACAGACAGTTTTAGCCCCAAGAATTCTTTAAGTGGATCAGGCACATTTTCTGCCAATGTGCAGAAGTGTTTTAGATACATGTTTCTATTTTTGCCCCACAGAAACAAAGGAGCTAAAGCTCTCCCCTGAAGCTACAGATAAGGATTATGTACACAAGGCAGATAGGAACTGGGTGAAGCTCAGACTTCTCAGTGAACTTTGTATTTAGTTTTGATTTTTAAAACCTGTATATTCTGCACACTTTAAAATTAAAGAGCATTATAACAACAACTGGGCACCAGTGCGGGGTCGCCTGAGGTCAGAGCCTGCGCCTCAGAGGCCAGCGTCTCATGCTGCAGTGTGCTCCGGAGTGGGAAGAAGCTGCTGACGGCAGCTGGGGCCGCGTCAGGGAGGGGAATGGGCACTGAGCCTCAGCCGCGGGGCGGGGGCTGCGGGAGGAGAGCACTGGACCAAACGCCACAGTGCAAGGAGGAGAGGGACCGCGGGAAGGAGGGCGGTGGCAACTTTCTACAGTCCGGACGGCCTCCTCACAAGGGACACGCCGTGAGAAAGCAGGGACAGCATGGCCAGGAAGCTCCCGGCTGGGATGGGGGCGGCTGCATCGAGGTTTGGCCCACAGCAGGCAGGCGACACGCAAGGCGGACAGCGCCAGTGTCCATCCGAGTCCACGGAGCACACGGGGCCCGAGCCCAGACCCACACCAGGTGCAGTGGCCCTCGAGGACTTGCGTCGGGAGAGCCCTCACTGCTGTGAGGATGTGGACAGCAGAGGGCGGGCAGAGGGAAAAGCAGAGGTGAGAGGAGAGCCAAGCCCAGGGCAGGGCCGCCGTGGTCACTGCACCGCAGGGACGTCAGCTGCTTCCTGCCCGGCAGGCTGTGCGAGGACGTGAGAGGGGCTGCCAGCCAGGGACGCTCATACCGGCCCTGGTGCCACGGTCTCCCTGGGGTTCACTGGGGGTCAGGCACACCCCCCACACCCCCCACGGCCCAGGGCTCACTGCAGGAGAACAGGTATTCACTGCAAGCACACTATCAGCACAATCAGGCTCTGCTGACAGTTCTTATCATTCTTTTTCAAAACATCTGTATTAGTCCACATCTGCAGCGAGACTACGTTTGTTGTGGGCAGTGGCACATGCGCATCTTGTTTTCCAGGGCCCCTTTCGCGCCCCTCCCTCTACCTGCTGGTCCCCTTCCCATTATAGCTCTTTTCTGGGGGCGCTGAGACAGGGTCTTACTATGCAGTTCAGACTGGCCTTGAACCCATGCTGGCCTTGAACTCAGTGATTCTCCTGCCTCAGCCTCCTGAGGCTGGAGACTTGTGCCAGTACACTCGGGTCTATAGTTCCCTCTTAGCAGGCAGGACATTCTGATCCCCAGGGGTCAGTTACAGGCCAGCAGGGATGTCAGACTTTTGTCTGGAATGTGTAGGGTTAAAGCAACCCAAGCTCCTTGGTTCACCCTTCACAACACACAGAAGCTCAAACGAGAAAGCTACACTGGGGGCTGTGGGCGCAGCTCAGCGGTGAGACCCTGGGTTCAACCCCCAGCACTACAAAACAAAACAAAACAAAACGTACAAAAATAAAGGAAAGCGTGATTTCTAATCCTCGAGTTTACGTGACAATTTTACTGCCTACATAAATTATAACAGCTTTCATTACAAAAGTTGTCAATTTCTGATATTTTGAATTTTGACTAATTCGAAAATTTACTAATTTCAGAGTCAAGAGTTTTCTCCATTTCACATCAGCTCAAAGCACTGATTACATGACCATGACAGGATAGCCCAAACTCACAGGCTCTGTATTAGATTTGATGAAAAGTAAAACTGAACACGACCCACGCTTACCCTTTCTCTGGGGTGCTGCCCGAAGAAGTCCGGGTGGACTGCAAAGTAGAAAGGCCTCAAGGCGTGGACGGCCTCTGCTCCCGACAAGGCTCGAGAGTAGTGGAACCAGTGGGGGTGGGTCTGCGCCAGACAGAACCTTGTAAAAAGATGTGGCTGGTTATTCTCAGTCCCAGAAACACACATTCTCAGTGATGAAGCAACAGTCAAGTTAAAAGTACTCTGCAGGGAAAACACTGTAGGAGCAAAACAGAAATTTTGCAGTCTTTCACAATCTACTAGGTTTTGGAAACAGTGGTTCTACATTTCTCTAACGCAATGAGAAATATTAAGTGGCAGTAACATTTCTCCCCCACAATCCACTGAAAAATAATAACTGGCTTCACTGAAAATGATGAGTTTTCTTTATAGAGTACAGAGTGTTTTTGTTTTGGCCCCCAGTGAAAAACCGAAACTCAAAGCTTACCTCCTCAAAGGTCTCAGGTGGCGAAACATTGCTGAATATGTATGTATGTCAACTTCCAGGCACTCATCAACTGCTTAAAAAGTTAAGCAGATACCACAAATGAGTAAGTGGAATTTCAAATTAAAAACACATTACCTCCCAAAGTGAAACACTTAGGTATTCATTTAATGAAGTATGTACAAAATCTAAATAAGGAAAACCACAAAACTTTGATAAAAGGAATCAAAGAACTAATTAAGTGGTGAGAGATAGCCCATGCTCCTGGATAAGAGTCAACACCGTCAAGATGTCAGCTTTCCCCAACTTGGTCTATAGAGTCAATACAATCCTTGCCAGTGTCTGTGCCAGTTAAACTGGACTGCCAGCTTGATTGGCCTGCGAGCAGCCTACAGGACTAGTAAGGTGTGCTTCTGGCTATCTCTGGTGGGTAGATAACCCACCAGAGGCGGGACCCTGGGCACTGTACTGTGCCCTCGCTGCTTCTCTGGCGCTGTTTCCCTGCTCTGCCTTCTAGTCACCATGGACTAAGCAGCTTTGCTCTGCCAGGCCCTCTTGCTATAATGTTTCTACCTTGGAGCCAGCCAAGCCTGGACTGAGTCCCCTGAAACTGATAGTCAAATAAATCTCTCCTCCTTAGTTCTGTATTTTGGGGATCTGGTCCAATATCTCAGAGTTATTTTGTGGATACTGACAAACAGATTCTAAGGTTTATAGATGCGAGAGATCCAGAGCAGACAATTTAACATTGAAGAAAGTAGGAAGACTAAAACTATTTGACTTCAAGATTTACTGTAAAGCTATAGTAATCAAGACAGTGTGGTACTGCCAAAAGAAAAAAAAAGATAACTGGAAAAAAATCGAGATGACGTTGGGTATGGAGATGACTTTTTAGATAGGACTCCAAAGGCATCATTTGTGAAAGAAATAATTAATACCCGGACATTAAGCTTTAAAACTTCTGCTTTGTGAAAGACGTGAGGAAAACAAGGAGAAAAGCCACGTACTTGGAGCAAAACACACATCTGGTAAAGGACTGCTATCCACAATGGACTACAAACTCTGCCACTCAACAAGAAAACAACCCAATTAAAAATGGACAAAAGCCTGCACAGACGCCAAGAAGACAACACAGACAGCAAGCGATCATATGAAGAGATGTTTAAAGCTGAGTGGTGGTGCATGCCTGTAATCCCAGCACTTGGGAGGCTGAGGCAGGGGGATCGTTGTGAGTTCGAGACCAGCTTGGGCTACAAAGTGAGTTCAAGGCTGGCCTGAACTGCATAGCGAGACCCTGTCTCAAAAAAGGCAAAAGAAGAAAAAGAAAGATGTTCAGCCTTGAGGGCACCAGGGAACTGCAAATTAAGATAATCAGATAACACCCCCAGCTGACAGAACGACCCTGACCCAAACCCCAAACACAGGCAATACTGCATGGTGCCGAGGGTGTGGGGTAAAGGAACTCTCTTCACTGTGGGCGAGGATGCCGAGCACTACAGCTTGGCAGCTTTTGACAAACCAAACACATTCATGATCCCATCCAGCAACCGTGGTCCTTGGTATTAACCAAGAGAACTGCCAGTGCAGGTCCACACGGCAACCTGCATACGCACGTTTACAGTAGCTTTATTCAAAATCTGGAAGTAAAAAGTATGTCCTTTAGCCAGTGAGTGGGTAAACTATGGTACATTCAAACAGCAGACGATTCCAACTATACGACACTCATGAAAAGGCAGAGACAGTAAAAGGGTTGGTGGTTGCCCAGGGTAGGGCAAGGAGGAATGAGCAGTCAGAGCCCAGGGTTTTAGGGTAGCAAAACTATGCCCCTGAAACCACCGCGGTAGAAACTTGCCCTGCACACCACCAAAAGTGATCTCCTCAGTGTGGACGCTGGGTGACAAGGACCTGTCAGTGTGGGGTCACTGATCGGCACCTGTACCACCTGGGGTGGCCTGCAGACAGCGAGGTATGTGTGTAGTAGGCAGGGGCATGCGGGAGCTCTACTTTTTTGCTTCATTTACCCAAATCAGTTTTATCTCTAAAGAGTCAAGCAGGTAAAAAGGGGTAAGAGATTTGAAATCACATGAATTTTTCCATGTTAGCGCTCTAGGAAGACATTCAAGTATACTGTAGTCTCTGCCAACTGGCCAATAATGGCTGTCAGTAGGTGGCAGGGCATTAAGGGCTCTATTTATTTTTTCCCTTAGTCCCTAGTTTATTTACAAAGAACATATGAAATATATTCATCTAAAAAAAAAAATCAAACTTTTTTTTAGCAAACAAATGATAGAAAATGAGCCTGGCAGGAAATGAGGGACAGAAATACTCAATTATTATTTCAGGTACCCACCATGGGAAGGGTCTCAGGACAGTCCTGGACTGTGGTCCCAATCTACTCACTTAGTTTTGCAGTGCTCAGTACTTGCGTATCCTGGGCAAGTGCTCTTAGCATTGAGCTGTATCCCCAACCTTTCATTTTTCATTTTACTAAGAACATTTATGTCATCTAACTGCATAGATTTTTGTTGTTGTTGCTGTCTTTTTGAGGTAGGGTCTCGCTACGCAGTTCTGGCTGGCCTTGAGCTCATTTTATAGCCCAGGCTGGCCTTGAACTCACAAGGATCCTCCTGCCTCAGCCTTGAAAGTACTGGGACTACAGGCGTGCACCACCATCCCCTGCTTAACTGCACAGATTCTAATGAATGAGCTCAGCTTAGAGCAAGAAGACTGACTGGCTGTCATTAGACAGCAAATCTGTAGACACCCTGACGGACCTCCCAGACAGTACCCTTAGTAACTGACCCATTCTTCCTTCCTCCCTCTCTCCCAGTGCTGGGGTTGAACCCAGGGCCTCCCTCATGCTTAGTCAGTGTTGTGCTATGGAGCTGTATCCTCAGGCCTCCTTCACGATGTTCAATGTGGAACATAAAGCATATTGCACACACAACAGAATTCTATAGCATGTTGTGGGATCATTTCTATCAAACATAAAGCAAAATTTAAAATTCTGTAAAGTACTGGTCTTCAGTCATCCACAAAAATTAGTTCATCTGCTATTCATTTTGTAATCACAGGGTGTTGTTATGGTTCATATCTAGAGGCCTCCTAGAAGTCTCACATGCTCAGAGTGGGGCTTCCGGGTGGTGGCTCGATCAAGGGTGTGTGATGCCGGATTAGCGCACTGATGGGGTTAGCACAATTCTGGGGTTGGATGATGGACTTGCAGAAGAGGGAAGACACACCCTGAGCGGCTTGAACCACTGGCAGTACAAATGGATATCATCACTTCTATTAGTCTTTTCACTACTAATAAGAAGCCACCCAATGGGACAGTCACGCATGTATCACTGGCGGTTCAAGCTGCCTGGCACTGAGACACATAAATTACAGCTCTGCACGAACATGTTAACGCCTGGAAATGTGGCAACAGATTCTCCCATGTTTGTCTTTTCGAAGTCTGAGATATTAAATCATTGAGTCATGGTCTCCAAATTCAGAAAGAAATTGTTAGAAATAGGGTAGTATAGGTTGGAAATGTTTCCCTGGCCCCCAATTTTACCAGTCCATGTTTGCAGTCAGGATGATCACACTCTTTGTGGGCTCTGCCACACGTGCGTGACACATCACAATTCTTTCTTCACCCCGGTCCCTGCCTCACCTCCTTCCTCCCACCTGAGAAAGAGCTGTCTCCTGTTATCTTTTCTTTTGCTCTGTATTTATATTCTGGGTTTCTCACATAAAAGAAATCATGCAATAGTTAAGCTTGTGTGTCTGATTTATTTCACTTAACATTATGGTCTCAAGGTGCATCAATTTTCCTACAAATGACTCAAGATTTTCCTACACTATGAGGTAGTAGTTTTCTACTGTGTACAAGTACTACAGTGACAGGTGTTTCCTGC